AATAACTCCACCTTTTTTCATTCAATCTTCATGAAATTTTCACAGAATGAAGAGAAGAGGTAATACTAAAAAATTGGCTGTTGAATTTTTGATATAGGGGATATAATTTTTTTGGTGGTGTCTGGAGTATGGATTTTCACGGATTTTTCGCAAACTTGAATGCTACATCAGGAAAAAATTCATTAAAAAATTTCTAATTCGATTAGGAAAAAAATAACAGAATATTTTTTAGATTTAATGTTTGTGAACACGCATGCAAAAAAACAATCAATTTCCATTAGCGACAAGTGCGGTATTCATTACGTAAGACATGTCAATAAAATCCAATGAGGCTGCGTGTCCATGGAAACGAAACTTTTTTCTCAAATTTGATTGCAGATTTTAAGACTCCTTACTATGTTTGTTATATGTGTGAAATTTGGTAAAATTCGGTCGAGTAAAAAGCGAGATAGCCTCCAGGTGTAGCCCCCCCCCCCCCCCCCCCCTTAAAAACTAAAAGCATCTTTGATTCTTGTTTCTCCTACTATTGTGTGTAAATGTTGCAGTCGGTCGTTACACCTTTGGTAATGATTATAATCTGCTAGTCTTTGTGGAGGCTTATGTCTTATAGTTTTTAAAACCAATATAATGTGTTTTATCACAGGTTTAAACTTTTTCCAGGCTTCTTAGCACGACTAAGCTCTGAAAGCACATATATGTATTCTAAAAAGTCGAAAGCATCTTTTTTTCTTATTCCACCTACAGTTTGTGCGAATCGTGTGGTCAATCGTGATACTTTCTGTAATGATTATAATTTTTTTTAAATAGTAGTTTTTGTGTAGGCCTCGTTGTGACAACCAATATACATTGCAGTGTTTTATCACAGGTTCCAGCTTTATAATAACATTTTGGCACAACTAAATTCTTTTTCAAGTCCAAATGTGTTCTTAAAAAGCTGAAGTTATCTGTATTTCTTGTTTTTCGTACTATTTGTGTAAAATGTGCGGTCGGTTGTTACTCTTTTTGGTAAAGGTTATAATCTTCAAGTTTTATATGAATGCCTAGTTGAAACAACCAATAGGCCTACATTGTCGTGTTTTATCCCAGGTGTAACCCTTTTCATGGCTTTCTTTCGTAACTAGGCTCTTTGACTACATGATTCTTAAACTGATGAAAGTTTTAATTTTGTTTCTTATTCTACAGACTATTTGTGCAAACTACAGTAGCTGTTTGTCTTTACACATTTTATGATGATTTTTATCTTCTGTGTTTGCCTATTTTAAAAACCAAAACATTACTGTTTCTTATCACAAGTTTGAGCTTTATAATAACCTTTTAGCACGACAAAGCTCTACCCAAGTCTATAGCCTTTTAATGTGTTCTTAAAAGCTGAAATTATCATCTTTATTTCTTGTTTCTCCAACTATTTGTGTAAAAGGTGGGGTTGGTCGTTACATTTAGTTATGGTTATATCTGCTAGTCTTTGTGCAGGCCTAAGCCTGTTAACATTTCTAACAACCAATACATCATTTTGTTTTATCAAAGGCTCAAGCTTTTGAAATAACATTTTCTACGACAAAGCTCTATCCAATTCTATAGCCTATAATAATGTTCTTCAAAGCTGGAAGTATCTTTATTTATCCCCCC